GGAGCTGTTCTTCTCTCTCCATTCAGATATCAACCCAAATATGGAACTCAGCCCTTTTTTAAATAGACTTGATTTTTTAGAGCAGTTTTAGATTCACAGCAATAGTAAATGGAAAGTACAGGGAGTTGCCATATATCCTCTGCCTCCACACATGCACAGCCTCCCTGACTATTAACATCCGGCACCAGAATGGTACATGTGTTACAATCAATGAACCCACATTGACACATCCTTATCACCCAAAGTCCATAGTTTACAATAGGATACACTCTTGGAGCTGTACATTCTATGGGTTTTGATAAATGTATAATTACATGTAGCCACCCATTATAGTATCATACATAATAGCTTCATCGCCTAAAATCTTCTGTGCTCCCCCTATTCATCCCTCCAGAGCCCTGAGCCCCTGGCAACCACTGATCTGTTTCACTGTGTTCATAGTTTTGCCTTTTCCAGAATGTCATGTAGTTGGAATCATACAGTATGTAGCCTTCTCAGATTGGCTTCTTTCACTTAGTAATACACATTTAAGTTTCCCCCATGTCTTTTCGTGGCTTGATATCTCATTTCTTGTTAGCACTGGATAATATTCCATTGTCTGGATATATCACAATTTATCCATTCACCTACTGAAGGACATCTTGGTTACTTCATATTTTGGCAACTATGAATAAAGCTTTTATAAACATCTGTGTGCAGGTTTTTGTGCGGATATAAGTTTTCAGTTCATTTGGGTAAATACCTAAGAGTGTGATTTCTGGATCACATATAATAAGAGTATGTTTAGTTTTATAAGAAACTGCCAAACTGTCTTCCAGAGTGGCTGTACGATTTTGCATTCCCACCAGCAGTGAATGAGAGTTTCTGTTGCTCCACATCCTCTTCAGAATTTGGTGTTAGTGTTTTGGATTTTAGCCATTCTAATAGGTATGTAGTAGTATCTCATTTTTGTTTAAATTTGTAATTCTCTAATGACATATAATGTTGAGCATCTTTTCAGATGCTTATTTACCACCTGTAAATTTTCTTTAATGAGATACTGTTCAGATCTTTTGCCCGTTTTTAATCAAGTTATTCATTTTCTTATTGTTGAGTATTAAGACTTCTTTGTATATTTTGGATGAGTCCTTTATCCAAATATTTTTTTGCAACTATTTTGCAACTTTAGCAAATATTTTCTCTCTATCTATGGCTTGTCTTCTCATTGTCTTGAGGCTGACAGTTATTTTTACTCTCAATTTTTAGAGATGTAGTTCTGTCATCTTCTGGTTTCTATTGTTGCAATTGACATAATGGCTGTAATTCCTTTCTTTCAGGTTTTTAAAAGGTTTTTCTCTTTATCTTTGGTATTTTGCAATAGTACAATACATCCAGGTGTTGATTTATTTTTATTTACCTTTTGTGGAACTATTGTACATCCTTAAGCTTTTAATTACATCCTTAATAGGGGATTAATGCTTTTCATAAATTCTAGAAAATTCTTAGCCAAGAACTTATCAAATGTTGTCTCTCTCTCATTTATTCTCTCCTTCCGGTCCTCCTATTAGATGTATGTTGGAACTTCTCATTCTATCCTCCATGCCTCTTACTGCCGTTTCATGCTTTCCGTCTCTTTATTTCTGTCTATATTTGCATAATTTTCTCAGGTCTATCTCTCAGTTTATGAATGCTAACTTCAGCTGTGTTTAATCTGCTAATTACCTGTTGTTAGTTTTCTATTGCCGCCACAACAAATTTTCAGAAACTTAGCAGCTTCAAACAACACCCATTTATTATCTCACAGTTTCTGTAGATCAGATGTTTGCCATGATGTGGTTGGATACTCTGCTTAGGGTCTCACCAGGCTTAAGTCAATGTATCAGCCATGACTGTGGTTTTCATATGGGGCTTGAGGCCCTCTTCCAAGATCACTATTAATTGGAAGAATTCAGTTCTTTGCAGTTGTAGAGTTGAGGTCCCTGTTTCCTTGACTTGTGACTCCTTTCATCTTCAAGGCAACAATGTGCATAGACTCCTTCTCATTCTTCTAACCTCGGACTCACCTTTCTGCTGCATTTCTCTCATTCCCTGTTCCGCCTTCCTCTTTTTCTTCTTAGGGTTCATAGGATTACATTGGCCTCCCTGGAGGCCATGTAGGGTAACCTCTATTTTAAAGTCAGCTGATTAGTAACTTTAATTACAACTATATAATTCCTTTTGCCATATCACATAATATAACCATGGAGGCAGAAATCATAGGAGCCAAAATTGCGCCTACTACACTATCCACTGAGTTTTTTGTTTCATTGCCTATATATTTAATTTCTAGAAATTCTTGGGGCAGAGTGCTTGCCCTGTTGCAAAAATGTTCCTGTTGTTCTTTTTTCATGGTGACTTTTATTTACTTACGATTTTAGTACCTTATTTTATGTCTTTAAGCAATATTATCTGAGTTTCTTGGGGGTCCATTGCAACTGTTTGTTAAGTCTTGCCATTTTATTCACAATCAAGTGGTGTGCTGGAGTCAGCTTCCCAACTTTGCCTTCAATGATCTCACATTGATAGCTTGAAGTCAGTCATGGTGAGAGTATTTATGCCATGAAAATTGGCAAATGCTATAAGTCAGCAACTTTTTTTCTTTTGAGAGTTGGTTTACCAGTATGTATACCACTGTTTACAATAGACTTCAAATTTTAGGTTTTGAGCTGAAGTTGGACAGGGCTTTAAATGTAAAAATCCTATTCAAGCTGCATTGAAGTTTCTGCAGCTGCTTCTGCAAGTTATTCCAGATGTTATCAGCCTGGAATCACCTTTTAATGCTATTTTCTTAGTGTGGGTGTTCCGGGACCACGACTTGGGGTGTGCAAATGTAAACCCCAGTCACATGTGAAACAGAAGCTCATAGTCATATATTCTCAGAAGACTTTTTCTTTTTCCCCATACAAGGACCAGATCAGACTAAACCTAACAAGCTTTCTTGTTTTCTCCCAGGGCCAGTGAGCTGAATTTTCTAGTCCGTCCCTTCACTGTATGAATTGTTGAATAGATTATTGAATGAATCTTGTCCAGGGGTTTTCAAATTATATTCCCTGGAGCCCTGTAGGATTCTAATAAATGATCCAAATGGCTACTTCAGGGAGCAAGAGACAAGTGTGCAAACTCTTCCCTTCATCCTATAAACCAGAGGAGCACACCCTTCTCCCCTCCTCACACTGCCGCACAAGCACACACATGCAAGCACACACACACAAACACACACATACATACTTTTATCTACATGACATATTAATCTTCCCAACAATATCACAAAGAAAGGTGTTTCTCTTTTTTAAAATTACAAAATTTCTGAGATATTCCAAACCCTTTACTTTAAAAATGGAGAAACTGAGGCACAGAGGTGTTAGCCAATGATGTAAAATATAGTTCTGCGAGTTGGTAAAAAGAATTGAGATTTGAATCCAGTTTTAAAACACGTAGGAATAACATTTGGACTGAAAAGATTAAAAAGCCTTTCTGTAACTAGAGACGCTTTGTGAGAGAAGGCTGGGGCTTAGTTTCTGATCAATGTGAAGAAACACACGGTGAGAGTGATTAGGCGCTAAAGCTTTTAATTATGTTACTCTCAGTATGCCCAAGTAATATTTGCTATTATTTTCTGAGGACAGTGCTCCACAGGCAATGCTTAGCATTTCATATGCATTATCACATTTAATCTACAAAGCAATCAGGGGAGATAATCACTATTATTATCCATTTTACAGATGAAGACAATGAGGCTCAGACAGGTCAAGGCATTAAGCTGTGGTCTCACGTGGCTAGTCAGCAGTGGAGCAAGGATTGAACTCAGGCTGTCTGGCTCCAGAACCCAAAGGCCTTCCCGCTGCCTATCTCTGCTGCCTTCCCTCTGTGGTCTGACTGCTGGAGGCAGAGCCAGTGCCACAGACAGCCTGACCACTTAACCACTCTGTTCCATCAAATAACTAGTCGATTATTTGCAGATTCCATACTGTGAATTCTCACTAAAATGTATTTTACTCCCAAAATCAATACTCCAGATGTTTCCTCAGTCGTTATTGGACGTGTGCATGTGCAGAGGGCAAAAATTTGAGTCAAGGAGGCGCATGTTCCCCGCTGAGTGGAACAAGGTGACGCTCAGTTTCTTGTTTCAGCTCCCACAGGGTAAACAAGGGTCCTCCTCGCAGTATATTTAGTACCACGTTTTTCACACTTTTGTGCTTTTGGTGGGTGATTTCTCTATTTAAAATGGCCCCAGGCATAGTGCTGAAGTGCAATCTAGTGTTCCTAAGCACAAGGAGGCTGTAATGGAGAAAAGGATGTGTTAGATAAGCTTCGTTCAGGCACGAGCTATGGTGCTGTTGGCCGCGAGCTCAATGTTAATGAATCAGCAATATGTATTAAATAAGATGTCTTTGAACAGAAACACACATAAAACAAGGTTATGCACTGATCGGTTGATGAAAATGTGACCAGAGGCTCTCAGAAACCTAACCCTATATTTCCCCTGGGGGCACTGATTCAGCATGTGCTAATTTGGTGTTCCTGGCGACGCTATAGAACATAGTATGGTGATTAATGAGAATCAACTGTATTTCATCCTGCCTTAGAACCAGCCTTACCTAAGTTTTTTAACTGAAGCAGCAGCCGGTACCTTTGGAGGACCCCGCGGATAAAGCCCTTTCATCTCCAAGTCTTTCGTGGCTTGGCTGCTGGAAGCCCTGCTGCCCTACCTGCAAGGCCTTCCAGGTATCGCCATCCGCTCTTGCTTTACCCTTTACAGAGGGGAACCTGGCTAATCAGGAAAGAAACTCCCTCACAAGGTAAACAGTGAGTAGAGTGTACATATGATGGAAAATAAATGGCTCTTGGTACCATGTTGTGGAAATTATCTCACTTAGGTCGATAAAGGAGCAGAGTGAACCTTGGTGGCACTGTTGAGTCCCCTCCTCCATCACACGGCCCATTCGTGACGTGTGCACCAGCCTCTTCGAGAAAACTCCATCGCTACACTGAGCACTCTCAGAACTGGGTTGTCCCTCCGTCGTGTGGCACTCTGTGTCAACACTGTACCCCACCATGGCCGTGACCGCCTGCCAGGGCTTGGGGTTCATGGTTTCACTGATTGGGATTGCGGGCATCATCGCTGCCACCTGCATGGACCAGTGGAGCACCCAGGACCTGTACAACAACCCGGTGACAGCTGTATTCAACTACCAAGGGCTGTGGCGCTCCTGTGTCCGAGAGAGCTCTGGCTTCACCGAGTGCCGGGGCTACTTCACCCTGCTGGGGCTGCCAGGTAAGGGCTGGCGGCCTGCTAGGCTGCAGGGGGAGATGCGGGAGACAGGAGACTGCAGCCTCTGCCTGGGCACCACGGGGGGGGGGGAGGAACAACAGCCCCCATCAGCAGAGTGGGAACAGGAGTGCAGGAGCCTTAGGGAGATGAGCTTTCTGGAGCTGTCAGACTCCTGTTCCCCTAACTGGATGGTGCCCAATTCTCCCCAAGGGGCACTTTTTAAAATAACTCTTTGTGAGCAATGGCATTGAGTGTCAATCACCACAGAACAGGATTCAGGAGACCTAGACTTTAGCCATTTCCTTCCTTTAGCCCCAAGATTCCTCCTCCCTGAATTGGAGACTATGAATCTCCTGAACTAAGTTCCATCTCCAATCCCCTGTGTGTCTGGTCCCAGCTTCCAGGGAAGCCTAAGCATGCAGCGGCAACAGAAATGGGGCAGAGGAAAGGACCAGAGAAAAAGAACTGAGTGCTCTATTTCTCTGGGTTCTGCCAGATGGGCCCCTTCTCTGTGGCTCCAGGCTCTTGACCTCCAGAAAATATGGGTCACCCAGAACTAGATTCAGGGCACTCTCTGCACGGAGGACTCTTGTGGCAAGTGAACTCTGCCACGCAGGGAAAGGTGTGTGGGCTGTGATGCCCGCCTCCCCAGATGAGCGTATTAGCTACACAGGATTGTGTGTTTGCTTGCTTAGTAGAGTGGTCGTTTTAACTTGAAGAAAAATTCAAATCACAAGAGTAGAGAATATTAAAAGTGTCTTTCACTCAAGTAACAGAGTAAGACAATAAATAAACTTGTCATTTTTATTTTTTAGTTCTTTGTTCCCTACATAGATACATATCAAAGTCTTGAGAGGGGTGTCGATCTAAGGCCGGCATCGTAAGGAGGATCAGAAATAGAAAGCAGGACTGTCTCCCCAGGAACCTGTCATTTGACTGCAGGGTCAAGACGTAGACACACACAGAAGGTAACAAGTGAAGACTTCAGGCACACGGTGATTCGTTCTTTTATACCTTACACACTTATTGATGTGAGCTCACTACAATCTCAGGGTTTAGTGGACCTGGCACCCCCGAAAATATGAAAGCGCACTCCAGGCTGGGTGTGACAAGGTGCCAAGTGAGGAGGACAGAAGTCAGTGCTGCAGGAGATGAGATGAGAATGGAACTGCTCAGGGAAGGTTCCACCAAGGAGGAAAAACCACAAATGAACCTTGAAAGATAGTTAGGATTAGGAGGGGCAGCATCACAGAAGGAAAATCAGCATGAGCAGAGGCTTGAGGGTGCTGGCACCCACGTCTTACTCAGGGGAAAATGAAAGACTGACCATGGCTGGAGGGGAGGGTGTATCTGGGGACGATTATGGAGAGCACTGAATGCCAAGCTAAGAGGAGAAGGGACTGGATGTAAACAGGAGAATGTGAGCCAGATCAGTGGGTGCCAGCTGCCAATTCAGTGGGGTCTCCCTCCACTAGACACCGGAGGGAAGGTGAGCCACTCCCTGGTCCCTGTGTCCTGCTGACCCCTCCTTCACTCCGGGTCTAACCACCCGTCCTGGGATTCTCCCTCACCTCAAATGCAAAATGCCCACGACCTCTCCAGAGGCTAGGAGCTGGGTCCATGCAGAGCTAGAGGCCACGACAGAGAGAATCAGCCTGGGGCTGACCTCCTGCCGCACACAGCACCTCCGTGACATCTGAGGAGTTCATACTGCTTCTCGAAGGGCAAATAACCACGGTAAATCATGCACTAGCCTTGAGTAAACTTGTATACCGTGTGTAATCTCCACAAACCACCCTGTGAGCTTGGTGCTATTATTACCACCCTTTTAGAAACAAGGAAACTGAGCTTGTGTAACCCGCCCAAGGTCGCACACAGATGGAGTCAGGGCCCAGACCCTGCCCTGCCTGCACCTAAGCCCCAGCCCACAGCCCCAACAGGGAGCCCCGAAGCTCTCAGACACAAGCAGAAACCTCTCCTCACCCAAGGCAGAAACCCCCAGTGCAGAGGCGCCTTCCTAGCCTCACCTCTTGCCTAAGTTTGGTGCCGCAGCCCCACACAGACCTCTCCTTGGGGGTGTCCTGGACTAACAACAGCTGCCAACACACTCCATATTCATCTTACACATGGAGACTCACAGGGGCAAAGAGACTTGCCCAAGCTCACAGAGTTAAAACTGGGCCGGGCTGAAACTGCCTGTTAGGCCTTCTCTTAGAACCTGTGTGTGTGTGTGTGTGTGTGTGTGTGTGTGTGTGTGTGTGTGAGAAAATCCTGTGATTAGGTAGTTTAGAGAAGTATTTTTCAAAAGGAATTTTGTAGGAATCCCTTTTAAAGGAAAAAAATTCTTGCAGATCCTCAATGTTGATTTAAATTATACTTATTTTAATGTCATTTTAACATATACAATAGATTTAAATTCCTAATGCATATAAATCTTACACGAGTACAAAACCACATTTGCAAATATAACATAAATAACACTAAAAAAACTAATAAATCTAAATTTAAAAATAAATTTGGTGTGAGGGATAGTGTTAATTTGCATTTGGAGATTAACAGGACAAAGACACAGCCTCCAGTCCCATTTCGTCTTTCACCTGCTTCAGTGTTTTGACTTCAATATTATTAATTTGCATAGATTTGTTTTACAAAATGGTGCTAATAAGTTCGAGGTACTCACACCTCACACTTAACCTCAACCCTGTCAAGGAATCATCCTCTCACATCTGTGGTAATGAGGTGTCTGCAACTTGATAGCTCTTTGCAGGTCTTCATCCTAGGAGGTGAGGTGTGTTGTGGTGCTACTGAAATGCGGCTCAAAGGCTATCAACATAATTATTTCTGGAATTGGGGAGGGAAAGTTCTCTGCTGTGTAGTTACTGCCACTAATTGTTGCAATCAGGTATGTGCAAAGACAGGATGGTACAGTGCTTGCTGGTGATGCTACTGTGATATTGACCACCAGGGCACAGGTGTCTGAGCTTGGAGGGCCAGTACCACAAGGTGGGGAGAAATCCCCCCAACTCCGTGTTCTGTGTGAGCTAGACAGAACCCTTTGTTAATGTGGCAGTTGAGAATATCCCTTGGCTGTCCCCTGGTGTAAAAATGATCATAAACACCAATATAAACATAAACCATAAGTGGCCAGCCAGAGGATCTGGAACGTGCTTGTTTTAGTTTTCTTTCCTTTAATTGAAATGAAAGCACAGAATTTTAAAATTTCCATTGAGAAGCTACACACTCCCAAGAATGCAAACACAGATTCTCAGGATCAGAGGGAAGAAGTCAGGCACAACCAAACCCTCCAGAGAAACCCTAGGCATATGACTGGTGGCCACCTTCCTAGATCAAATCATTTCATGGCCCATAACCAGCAGCCAACCTGTCCTGGACTGAGTGAGTATAGACAAGGTCCCCTCTTGGCAGGGATAAGGAAGGAAAAGCAAAGGCCTTTGGTCCTCTCACACATGCAGAAGTAATAGGGAAAGAAAGAATGACACAGAAATTGTGGCATTAGAAGGAACAGTTATTCATTCAACACACAGTTGTTGAGCACTTACTAGTTCCAAGCTGTCTGCACATAGATATCAAAAGGCTCACAAATCTAGAAAGAGAGACATAGAGGAAACAGACCATTGCCATACAAAGTTCCTCAACCTCAGCACTATTGATATGCTGGGCCATATAATTCTTTTTGTAGGAGGCTGTCCTGTGCATTATAGGTTATTTAGCAGCACCCCTGGTCTCCACCCACTAGATAGAAGTAGCAGCACCCTCTCCCTTCCCAGTTGTGACAACCAAAAATGTCCCTAGACATTGCCACGTGTCCCCTAGGGTACTAAATCAGCCCCAGTTAAGAATCATTGCAATAGGGCTGGCCCAGTGGTGTAGTGGTTAAGTTCGCGCACTCCGCTTTGCCAGCCTGGGGTTCTCAGGTTCGGATCCCGGGCATGGATCATGCTACGGCAGCGTCCCATATACAAAATGGAGGAAAATGGGCACAGATGTTAGCTCAGGGCTAATCTTCCTCACCAAAAAGAGGAAGATTGGCAGCGGATGTTAGCTCAGGGCCCATCTTCCCCACAAAAAAAAAAAAAAGAAACGCTGCAATGAAGTATAGCAAGTGTCATGGTGTCATGTATGGTACAGGGTGTAGACATAAGGAAAGAGAAGACTTCCTAAAGGAAATGAGAGCTGAGCTGAGTTACCAATGACATGTGTGAGGTACCCAAGAAAATAAAGACGTAAACAGAAACACCATCTGGAAAAGACACAGTGGCATGAGAGAGTGTAGTGTGTTAAGAAAATTAAAATAACTTAGTTCTGTTTGTGTGTGATATGAGCTGGGGAGGGGGGTACAATACAACGACATGCGTTAAACACTTGGGAAAAATATCTGTAAATATTTGGCAAGAATCAAAATGATTTTTTGATTTTTTTTTTACATTTTTTACTAAAAAAAATGTACAAGTCTTACTTAAAGGGAAATATATACTACAGTTTCCTAGATAGGAATATTATAAAGATGGGAATTTGTCCCTAATTGATGTATAATAATAAATAATATATTCATTAATTTATTAATAATAATAAAAAAATTTATTGAGACCTTACTATGCACCAGGCATTGGGTTAAGGAATTAACATATATTACTATACCTAAGTTACATAACTATATATACCTACACTTTAATTTTCACGACAACCCTATGAGGTAAGTAGTATTATTATCTCCGTTTTATAGATGAGGAGACCGAAGCCCAGCAAGGTTACAGGATGTCCTAACGACCCTATAGTACTGAGCAGTAAGTGTAGTAATGGGTGGCAGGGGAGGATTCAAACCCAGGGCAGACTTCTTCCAGAGCCCAAGTGCTTCTCCATTATGAGCATTCTAACCAAAACACCACTAAGAGTTTTCCTTTGGGAACATGACAAAGTGTTTATCTACAAGAAGAGCAGATGAAATTAACTTTTAAAAGTTTTTTTTTTTTAAAGAATAAAAT